ATTTTTTGACATACTATACTATGATGATTTTTTTGCATAGTATACTATGACATTTTTTTGACATACTATACTATGATGATTTTTTTGCATAGTATACTATGATGATTTGTTTTGGCATACTATACTATGACATTTTTTTGACATGCTATACTATGATGATTTTTCTGGCATACTATACTATGATGATTTTTTTTGGCATACTATACTATGACATTTTTTTGACATGCTATGCTATGACAGTTTTTGGCATACTATACTATGATGATTTTTTGGGCATACTATACTATGATGTTTTTTTGGCACACTATACTATGACATTTTTTGATATACTATAATATGATGATTATTACATACTATACTATGACAGCGTTTTTACATACGATATGATGGCAAGTTAAATTTTCTTAAAAAGAATCATATTTTGAGGACAGCAAAGTAAAGCAATCAACTAATTAATTTAAGGTCACTGGGTTGCAATCCACAGAAAAAGGTGCAATTTTGTACAAATGGGTTGCATTTATGCACAAGGGTCTTTTGACAGGAACAATTAAAGAGGAAATGATACTAAAATGAACAATTAGAATGAAGAGAAACTGAGACAGGGATCATCACTGCTGGCTTCCTCTTAAATCAGAAGCTGCACCTTAATCAAGGCTTCCTAATTAGGGGCAATTAGCTTTAGTAATTCACAGAGATAGCAGACTCTCTGTGTCTTTGTTGGAGCAAGGTGTGCATCTGGTAGTCACCTCGAAATGTTTTTTTGTCATGGATACATGATGGATTTGTTTTTTACACTGGTTACTCTGATTCTTGCACTTTTTTGTATGAGCTGTTCAAACAAAAAAAAACCTGGATTCACAGAGTATCCATGTTTGTTTTTATATTGGTCTATTTTTAGAAACTTGACCCAAGGTAGCACGAAATTTCTCTTTACACATTCACGCTCATTTGTCACTCGTTTCAATTCACAGTGCGAGACTCTCTCTTTTCCAATACCCATACTACCATACCATGTAGTGTGTCAGAAAAGATTCAGTATGTCCCAATCAATACATAAAGTGCGGGATCTTCCCACCTTCCTGTGACATAGGCAGCTGCCTAGGACGCCACCAAGAGGGCAGGGTGCCAAAACTGCCCTAGCTGCAAACAGATGACGGCTTGTTGACAGTTGTCAGAAGCTGCAATGACAGATGACAGCCCATTCGAATGACTGATGACGACTTGAAAAGTAATAATGTGAAAATAACTTAAGTGAACAAAATATTCATAAATATTACCAACAACAAACTGACACAACTATGAAATGACAGGGAAATGCATGTGTAATTTTACTGTCGAGAATATTAAGTTATAATCCACAATGTATGTAATTATAAGTCAAAAGTAAAACTACATACATTGTAAAGTAATGAGAGCAGAGCTTTCTGGTTTGACCTCTATCTCTGTCAAGCTTGGTAAATGGTGTTTTGTTTAATCTTTGAGGTAATGGATAGATGAGAAAGAGGGTCAAAGTTCAGAGGACAATGTCAAGGCGAAGTAATACATCCCAACTGTGTGCATACTACATGCAAGAGAACATACTTTGTAGGGGCTGCTGGAGTACCCACTAAAAGTAAAGTCAGAAAATCAGTGCACTTTGGATTGCAGCTACTGTGTCAATTCAGGAAAAAGGAGCTGACATTAAGAAAGATGACTGCAGGTAAAAAAAAAAAAAAAAAGAAGAAGTGGATTTTTCTCTTCCTTCACAGCCATCACTGGCATCCCAGTGGTGCCATGACATTTGAAGAGAGCTGAAGATTTCTGCAGGTTCATGGGAAGTATGTGTGAGGAACAGGAGTGAGCTACAAAAAGGGTTCTTTTTAGACAATCCCACTCCACTTATGTTCTCATAGACTATAAAGGTCCAGTGTGTGGGATTTAGGAGGACATACTGGCAGAAATTTAATATATTATGTTTTCATTAGTTTACAATCGCCTGAAAATAAGAATAGTTATGTTTTAATTACCTTACAAGGAGCCATTTATGGTAATGGAAAATGGACTGCCCTTGTATAGCGCCTTTCTAGTCTTCTGACCACTCAAAGTGCTTTTACACTACGAATCACATTCACACGCTGGTGATAGAGGCTACAGTACAAGGTGCTACCTGCTACTCAGTTTTTAACACACTCACACACCGATGAGACAGCCATTGGGAGCACTTTGGGTTTTAGTATCTTGCTCAAGGATATTTTCACATGAAATGAACCACGGATCTTCAGACTATTAAAACACACGCTCTTCCCCAGGAGCCATAGCCGTCTATCTACATAGGGAGTAACCACCATGTTGTTTCTACAGTTGCACAAAACTGACAGACCAAACGATGGCTCTAGATTGGTCCATTTTCATGTCAGCCACAATGGTTAGCAGCCCCTCTACAACCAGCATGAATACAGATTTTTTTAATGTGAAACTGCTTTATTCAGTTTTTTATTGTATTTTTAAATCACCTGCTCTGCTTGTTTTGGAGAGGAAGAGACCTTCTCCTGAACATTTG